AGATCCGGATCTTCAACTCCAATGTGAAGTCAGTGCTACTATACGGATCAGAGACTTGGCCAGCGCGTCATAAAGAGCATCTCCAACAAACTGCAGACCTTCATTAACAGTTGTCTTCGCTCAATACTCAAGATCAGATGGCGAGAAAAGATCAGCAACAGAGATCTCTGGCAATGAGCGAACCAACCCAGCAGGAACCGATTGTGAAACAAATATGCAGGAAGAAATGGAGATGGATTGGCCATACTCTGAGGAAACCATCAAGTGACATCACTAGACAAGCCATCGCTCGAGCTGAATCCGAAAGGGAAGTGGCGAGTTGGTAGTCAGTGCGAGGTCATGTGAAGAGGAGATGAAAACGTGTGGGCAGACTTGGAGCCAGGTGAAGACTCTAGCAGAGAACAGAACGCAATGGAGACGCACGGCTGAAGCCCTATGTTCCTCTAGGAATTAAAGGAAACAATAAATAAATATAATAATAAGTCCTTGGTGTGCTTAACTTATTCTTTTTCGTGGAAATTTTCGTTTGTTAATCCTTTTATTGTGTTGTCTTTTTCCATCTTTATGTTTGCGTCAATGAAGTGTGTGGATACCTTGGACTTTGTACTTTTGTTACAGTTTTATAGTTTCATGATGTAATGAGTAGGCATATCAAAAATCTCGATACTGACAATACTCAGTCATCTGTTTAACTTCCATTATGTTTTAAGTTTTCTTCCGAAAAATAAGCTTAAAAATACTGAAGTTAGCAGAGAATGTTCTTTTCGTAACTTCTCGTCAAAGTTGTACATAGGAATGTCACAGTAACGGTTAATTATTATTATTATTATTATTATTATTATTATTATTATTATTGTTCCCTTGAGTTCCTAGTGGAACATAGGGCTTCAACTACACGCCTCCACTTGCTTCTGTCTTCTGCTGTACTTTTCAGTTGCATCCATGTTAATCCATACTGCTTCAGTTCCTCATCACACGATCTCCTCCATGTCACCCTTGGACGTCCCACTCGCCGCTTCCCTTTCGGGTTCCACTCGAGCTATGGCCTGACGCGCGATGTCACCCAGCGGCCTCCTCAGCGAGTGTCCAATCCATTTCCACTTTCTCCTGCATATTTGTTGGTTGGCGATTGGTTCCTGTTTTGTTTGTTCCCATAGCTTCTTGTTTGTGATTCTTTCCGGCCATTTGATTTTCAGTATAGAGCGAAGACAGTTGTTGATAAAGGTCTGCAACCTGTTGAAAATATTCTTGGTGACCCGCCAAGTTTCGTAACGGTTAATTAATAATATTAATTAGTAACAAAACATAAAATTACATATCAAGAAGAAAATTGCTTAACTCGGTTAAGTAGTCTAACATAATCTAAAACCGTAGAGTGATGAACACCATTTAGAATATGATTATCATCAAAACTGTAAGAAATAGATTCAGAAAATGTGTGAAGTATATTTTTTTAAATAGTTTGAAAAGAAAGGCGAAGTAAAAGCGATTGGATAAATTGCTTCTGTGTTAACAATTCCAAAGCATGTAGCCGGGATCCTTTCGAACAACTTTGTCTCTCACCCTATGATATATCACTTCGCAAGATTTTGTAATTTATGCAGAATGATGCATAAAAAAAACCTGGTACTCAAGAGCACCAACTTATTGATTCATCTAACGTACAAGACACTCTTGTACTTGTCTATTCTTGAAGGGGAAAACCTTGTTTCACATTTTTACTATGTTTCCTTATGAAAATTGTAACCAATCCAAGGAGAAGATTGTGCTTCTCTCTCTCTCTCTCTTCAATTTCACTTGTTGTTGTCGTCTGATGCCGTTTTTCTTTCATAAACATAAAACAGTAATAGAATTTTCCTTAGGTCATATGAATAAATGAAATTTTGCAGATTGGGTGTTTTTTATGACAGAAAATTATTCAGAAAACGAAGACTCACACTTGACGTCTCTCAAGTAGTTTGTTTCTTTTTTTGGAGAATCGAGAAACAATCTTGTTATTGTATCGTTATTCACTGTTTCTTTTGTGTATATATGAGTGCACAGATTTAAATTTCTTTTTCATATGACACATTTATGTCAAACAAAAAGAATCTCCCCATTGGGTATAAACTGATAAGTTCAATTTAATCCAAATAGGGAGAAATATCTATTGAAAAGTGAGAAATTTCTTCAAGATATTAAATTTCCCTCCACTTGAACAGAATTGCAATCGAATCAAGTATAAATTATGTAAGTCAGTATAATTGTGACTAAGAAACAGGTGCGTAAAAAGTGAAGTATTAATGTTTGAAGGTGATTATTATAGACTCTTATTTGATGAATTACTCCATTGAACTTACTTTTAATTAATTTGTTTAAATGGCTTAGTGGATAACGCTTTGATGTTTGAAATGCTAGACACTAACATTGAGTCTCAGGAATTCCAGGTCCATCCATCAGCTGATGACGAGTCCCAAGTAGGACGAAATGTGCATCTACTGAATTGCACTGCTAGTTGTTTGTCAAGAGTTAGTTCGTTGAGATTTCATCTGTCTCAAGTTTTTGATCACGGGTTAATATCACAGTTTATAAACTATTGAATTGATAGAAGTTAGAATTCATAGATCATTGAATTCCGGTCACCTGAAGGTCCCGGCGTGGAGTCATAGTCGCGTATTGCCATGGAGTAACAAACTAGAACCAGTACTACCCGGTTATCAATGGTTCTCTTGAAATATTCCTTTCATTCAGCATATAGTGAGTTTTTGTTTTCAAATGAAAATTAAACTTTATCTTCAACCTTTTTGTTTTTAAAAAAACAATTTCTTAACAGATTCAGTTTATTATGAATCTAGCCAGCCAGCATATATTGATGATAAGGTAAAATCTGTTGGTGCTGTAACTCCTATGCATAACAACACCGCCACCACCACCAGTAATAATACTAATAATAATCCAGTGGGATCAGGACGTGGTCGCCCCAATGTATCCAGTGCTTATCCAACATATGAAGAAGCTTGGGACGTGAAATTAGCTCGTCAACTTGGCGTCGGTGTATCCCGTCTACCATCGATTCTTCCAATCTCACCAACTACTGCTACGCTGCTGCTGCTGCTGCTGCTCCTCCGCCTACTACTACTACTGCTACGCCGAATCACATTCCATCCTTGCCTTCTATCCTCACCGTGGTGGTGGTGGTGCTACACCACCTCAGAATTCATCATCAGCAGTATGCAATAAAGGCAAAGCAACTGATGATGTGCAAACAGTAGAGACTGACTTCAAATTATTAAATATTACCACCAGCAATGCATCAGATGAAAAGTCACCAAAAATGACGAATTTTTCAGAGATGTTAATTACTGATGATAATAAAAAATGTTTATGATGATGGTGATTGTAATTATAAAAATAAACAGAACGGAAAATCAGTTAATGGTATAAATCAATTATTTTATCATAATGAATCAAACAATGATCCTTCACAACGTAATTCAATTTCTAGTCATATGGTATGTGTAATTCATGTGTATATTTATGTGTTTATTTGATTTTTTTACATTGTGTGTGTGTGTGTGTGCGTGAGTGTGAGTGAGTGAATGAGAATATGTATTCATGGTATGTTTATCATCCATCACTATTATTGTTGATAATAACATGTTTTTCAAGTATTGGTTTTTCGTAGGGATTTTGTTTAGTTGGTTGGAGGATTTCATCATGAGCTGACATCAGTTAGAGAACCTTTGGAAAACCAGCTGGGAGTACTGCACAGCTGTTTCATCCTAGTTTGGGACTCTTCATCAGTACGCACCCACCGGGATTCGAACCCAGGACCTTCTGGTTACAAGGCTAGCGAGCACGTAGACCATTGAGCCACTGGGACCCGATCTAATGGCCAGTCCCTGAATTCTAACTTCTGCCAATTCACGACATAGCATGACCATTTCGCAATGTCTTTTTCGACGAGTTACTACCTTATCTTCAACCTGCTGTACCCGACGTGTCACAGCTTCCCACTAGAACCCCAGGTAACTGCCTGAATAGGGCTAGTCGCTAGTGAGCATCAGATTAATTTTCAAGTATTGGTTTTGCGTACTGTGAAGAGTTCTAAAATAGGACGAAATAGCTGTCCAGTACTCCCAGGTTTTCCAGTGGTTCACTAACTGATGTCAGCTCATGATGAAATCCTCCATGCAATAACATGTTTGTCGAATATAGAAACAAGCATATGTTACCTTTATCCTAACTAACCGCCTAATGCTCTGTGTTTTTAATAGATGTTTGAGACTACTCAGAATGCAAGTGTTGGTTTGCTTGGATTTGATTAGTTACAAGTTTGATCACGAGTTGACATCAGTTAGAGAACTACTGGAAAACCTGCAGGGAGTATCGGACAGTTGTTTCGTCCTAGTATGTGACCCTTCAGCAGTACTCGCCCATCGGGGTCTGAAACCAGGACCTTCCGGTTACAAGGTAGACTAGTAGAACATTCAGCAAATGGGATGGGATCCAATGAACAGCCTTTAAATTACAGCTTATGCCGACTCGTGGTGTAGATTAACACAACCGCTAGTCAATCAAACGCTTGACCTTCAGGTTATACAGTGAGCTCTTTGACCATTCAGCAATGGGGACAGGATCCAAATGGCCTATGAATTCTAACTTCTGCCTGTTCGCGTGTTATGCAGCGCGACTGCCAACCGATGTCATCGCTGAGTACCTTTTCCTCACTCCCAATTAGGTAGATCCCTGCTGCTGCTATTTCACACTGCAGTCGGTCACTAACGTTGGCTTGCAGGTATTTGATTGAATTCAAGTTTGATCATAAACAGACGTCAGTGGGATAACCATTGAGTTCTGAACATTTAACCTTAAGCCCACGGGTTCCAGCCCTGGTGGGGTCGTCGGGGTGTGTGCTGATGAAGAGTCTCAAACAAGGTGAAACAGCTCTGCAGTACTCCCTAGTTCTCGGTGCTCCATTAATTCAGGTCTGTCCATGGTTAATTTTGAAACCAAGTCTCTGCAAACTAACACTTGAAAATTCCCGTACTTAAATCCTAATTTGGTTGTCTATTTTTGGTAGTTTTATACTCATTATCATCACGGCTGCTCTCTGTCTGTCTGTCTGTCTGTCTGTCTGCCTGTTTCATTTCAGTCTATTCTTTTCGTTTATATCTTATAATTAAATTGCATGAATTGTATTCACTGATATAGGTTGTTTAGGCTTTGGACAATTAGAAATAATTTTTAGTTCAATAGATTTTTGCTGATATATAGCTTGAAGTTTTTGTTTTAGCTCGGTGTATTTAAGTATGTTTGCGTGTGCGTTTGCACGTATTCAATTGCTTAAAATTATTATTCGTGTTATTATTAACCCAACTGGTACGTACCACTGCTATTATAACGCATGTATTATTATTTAAGTAGTATTCATCCAAGTACTTACTTTACTTTACTTCGGCTATCTCCTACGGGAGGATGAGCCGGCTTCATGAACAGAGAGTTCATGAAGTTTCATGGGAATTTGGTACGAATGATGTCCCCAGAATCGCTCGGCCTTTTGTTTGAGAGTGCAGCTCTAACCTTTACACAACCAAGTGTGACCTACAAGGCAGTAGGAGTGGAGTAGGGAGTCCACTATCCATTGGCAGCCGGTGACCGGAGTTCGGTTCATACGTCTTTTTGAATGGGGCCAGACATCCAGGACATCCAACAAGCCCTTTGTCCATACGTCTGCCGGTGAGCTCCAGTGAGCTTCATACGCCAGTCGTTGGAGGTTTGGAATCAGGGTTTAGCCATCTCCCCTAGACTGTCATCCAATGGACAGTCAACCCGGTGAAGAGCGCCGGGCATCCGCTTTCGCCCTCTCACTTTGGTGAAAAAACACCTCCGCCACGTGAAGGCAGTGAGTAGGACTTCCTCAGGAGAGGCTATGTAAGACGCCCGGTCATATGGGAGCATTTCAAGAGGTGTGCGGAGGGGTGGCCAACCCGCAGCGCAAGGCACCCACCCCCGACCATCCTGAGGCTTTGGAGGCTATGCATCCAAGTGTATATAATAGTATGTGGGTTAAATGAGGTCATCAGCAGTTTTATCCCCTTCTTGTCGTCTCTTAAATATACACCGTTATCTACTCGATTTTATGAAGCTGCTTTATTAATTATGAAGAATTTCAGCTGTAATATGCATCTCTGCTCCTCTCTGTTTCGAATGTTTACTTAGGGTTCAAAAAGACACTTCCAGTAACTCTTATTCCATACAACAGGGGGACAGTACCAGTATGGCATGTGCCACTGATAAGATTTATCTGACTGCTTAAGAAGGCTTCGTGTGCTTTTGCAAGTGCGTGAGAGGTTGTTACTTCCTGGCTACGCACACCGTGGAAGTTGGTTGATTCTTCGGGTTCCTGAAACAGAGAGAGGGTTAGTGTTGTGTGACCGCAGAACCCAGGGACAACTGCTTGAGGCCGGCCACACACTGCCTATATGGACTGGTTTCTTGGATTGGTTCCATATTAGTAAACTTACCACCGGTTACATACCACCGTAGGGTAAGTCGGGATGTAGGATTTTCGGGGTCGACCTTTTCTAGCCGCCTCTCTCCAAAGTGGAGGGACAGCATAGCTGGCATGCTGGTCATCTGAGGGAAACACCTTACTGCTGTTACATCCCTGTTCCCCAGTAGTACGACTTCGCCCACAGACAGCCAGCATAGTGTAAAAAATAGTTCTTACACAATGCCGGTAACTGTTTCCAGTCTAATCGCTATCCTAACAACCTTCCTGGCATTCTATGACCTGCAGGAACAATAGTTCCAGCCATTGTAGTTTGTTGGATCATAACGGTATGCAATCCCGACCACCACGTCAAGGTAGCAGCTATCGGTGGGGAAGATTTATCAGTAGTATATAGATAGACGTTTATCAGCAGAAAAACATCAAATAACAGGGAGGTAGATTTGATGTCGGAGAAAGTAAACGATACAGCGCTGTAGAGATACATGGGAGACATAAAAGGAACACGAAGAAACACAGTATGAAGGAAGGCGAGAAGTAGCACGACACGGAGGATCTGTGCAAGTGGCGATTTGAAGATAAGGTGTACATAATTTGGCTATATAGGGATACCAAATTCCAAATAAAGATTCCTTTTACCAAGTCTTTCATCTTCTACCGTTACACTGACAACTATCATTAGTAGTCAGATCAGAATTTGCGATATCACTTGGTTAATATAATCCGGTAGAATTTATTATGACAAAGATATACCATGTTTGGTCAGCTTTTGCCTACTTGTGCTATTTGTAAATAACGGTGGGATATATGTTGATGCCTTCTTAAGAGTCGCCTGTACCTTGCTTTTGTGCTTTCTATCCTTCTAAAAGTATTTAAAATATAATTATTTAAGAATAGGGGATGTACGGAAGCTATCAGTGTTCTAATAATGTGGTATATGTTAATGCCAAAGTCATCATTTTAAGAGTGTGTTATTATAATTATTATTAAAAACACAAACTTGTTACATGATTGGCACCAAAAGGTGCGCCACACAAAAAATAGTAGTTTGTGTGAGAGTTGGGACACTACTTGCCGGAAGCCCAGATCTAAGTAGGTGGTTGTCTTAAGGGGACCAGCTCTCCCACGAGCCTTTGACTTAAAGCCTGATCTGATCCACGATGCGTTGGAGCAGCATCAGATGCTACGTCACCCATGGTAATTGGTGACTAAAAACAGGTTCATATGCCCCATTCGATCCAGTTGGATTATGGAGCCCGTGTACACCACCATAGGTTTGAAATCAGGGTTTTCTAGCTCCCCTACTAGGTAGACCTGCATGTCATCAAACGTTCGAATTGGCTCTTTCATTTTTGTGAGGAACACCCTCGCTGCATGAAGGCAGTAAATAGGAGTTACCTGGCAGATGTTATGAACGCGTGGCCATATAAGAGACCGTTTTGGGAGGGGGACCGAAGTTTACCCACACCCTCATCCGTACCAGTTCCTCTATTGTGGGTGTATTACTGACATCAGTTTGTATTATTACTGCTTATAAACACATGTCAATCCAGCATTTGTCGTAGCACGTTTTATTAGCTGACTTATAATTTCCTTAAGAAAACAGTTAACTTTGAATAAATCATAGCATGAGAACACTGTGTTGGTGCAATCGATTTCTCAGGTGTCAATGAAAGTCAATATATTTTGAAACTCCATATGTAATTCTATTTAGAACTGATAATATTATATGAATATTTTCATAATATCAGCAGATAAACTGCACTGTTGTTATTTATCTTCATTGTATTTATCATTTTCAGTTGTGTCTCTGCTACAATACACCCTGGGCCTACTAATATCATTGTTGTGACAATTATATAAGCACAAAATTCCACACTTCCATTTTTACTATTCTCTATGTTTATAGCATAGCGAAACCTAATGTGTATGTGCGTGTGTGCGCGCGCGTGTCTTAAATCTTCTGACTATACTTCACAGAAATCGCAAGCAGTAGTGAATTACCGAATTTTTTTTACATGACAGCTGACGACTGTGTTAACAACGAATAGTAGTAACAAACATTTAATTTGTTTGTTAATAAACTGTAAAGTGCGAATATGAATAGGTATGTGTAGGCGAGTAACAATTTGTCAACCCACTGTGAATTATTTTCTTTCGGGTTACCATATTATAGAGAGAGAACTGTCGTATTATTTTTTTTTTTTTTTCTTTCACGTTCCAGTGAAACATAGGGCTTCAAGCTAGTGGTTGAAGTTTCTGTAGCAGCGTTTAATTTACAGGATGGGTTGTGCCTATGCCCACTTTCTTCCATTTGAAGTAAGGCGGGATCGACCCGGACCATGTGCATGGTGGCGAGCGTCCTAACCGCTATACACCGACGCACTGTCGTATTAAAGGTGCACATCTCTGTGAAATTAATTATTCAGGGGTATGAAGACGATCAGAAATTATGAAGTGTGGTGTTTTTGCTTAAATGGAAGAAAATGTAAATATTTAGTTATAAGCATTATTTCTACCCGGCGTAATTATGAATCGACATATGTTGCTCCTAAAGAATATGCATGTTTAGTACACTGGCTGGCGGTCGCGCTAAAATTCGCCAGTTGAAAGAAGTTAGAATTGACGGATGATTCGATTCCGTCCCCAGTAACTGAATGAATAATGGTCTTGCCCCCGTCACTTGAAGATCCTGGTTTCAGTACCCGGTGGCATGGTCCCAAACTAGGAAGCAATACAGGATTGCTCATGAGCTGACGGATGTTTCGTCCTAGTTTGAGACTCTTCATCAGCACGCGCCAACCAGGGTTCGGACCCAGGACCTCAGGGTCACAAGGCGAGCGAACTCGTAGACCATTCAACCACTGGGACCCGATCCTATGATTCATGAATTCCGACTTCTGCCAATCCGTGATATATATATATATATATATATTTATATATATTGCACAATCTCCAACCAATGTCACAGGCGGGGTGACTGTCCTCTTGCCTGGCTTGGTTGACCCCTCTGGTTACAACTTCTCACTAGAATACCAGATAACTTCTTGTTTAGGGTCAGTCGCTACTGAGCATCAGATTGTGACGAAATAGCTGTCCAGTACTCCTTTGTGGTTGATTCAATGATTCTGTAACTGATATCAATGCTCGATCAAACTGAAATAAATCAAATCTCTACGATTTAACTCTTGAAAACTGCCTATTAAAGATAAAAAGCTACACACAGGTTGAAATGAGCATTGCTTAGTTCTATGAACGACTGTTATAATTCCCGTGTTGTTGTTTTTTAAATTTCAGGTAAATGGAAAGACAGAACTAACAGAAAACAGTACTGGGGAGTATGATTACGCTTATAATGGTTCATGGAATATGGGTGTTAAAGTAAGTCTTCCAATGGGAACTTATTTCACGTAGATGTGTGATTTGTGTGGGTGTGAGAGAGAGAGTGTGTGTGATTTAACACTACACACTAGACAATATTCAGTCGTTTCTTCAGTTAGTTATTATTCCTGAGCGTGTGTATCTCACTCACCATCCTTGATCGGTTCAAAATACTTGTACTTTTTTTGTGCTGAGTAAACAGTAAGGGGGGATGGTAATCTACTTGTTAAAATTTTCTTCATAGTATGCTTATTGTCGTAAAATAAATATTCAAAACTCTGGTGAGACCGATAAGGGAAATAGGTCTACGTGTTTCGATTCAAGTTTTTGGAGTGATAATTATTGCTTTGGGTTCCGAGTGGAACAAAGGCCTTCAACAACACACCTCCACTTTGTTCTATTTGGTGCTGACATCTTCAGCTAGGCCCACGATTGCTCATAATCTTTCTTCTCCTCCATGTCACTCTCGCACTGACGACTCACTCTTCTCTTCTCATTGGTGGTATTCCACTCGAGCGATGTCATTCCATGTCCTCCTCAATGTATGCCCGATCCATCTCCATTTTCTCCTACATATTTGTTGGGCAATCTGCTTTTGGTTGGCCTATGCCCAGTTAGCCAGAGTTTCTTGCTGCTAGTCTTTCTTATCACTTGGCCATTTGATCTTCAGTATAGAGCCAATCAACGAAGGTGGTAGCTGTTGATAAAATTTCGTGTGACTGGGGAGCACCAGTTTACCCGTGAGATTCTCCCTTTGAGATCCTCAGAACACAGGTAGAAGATGGATAACGTATGCTTCTGCTTACGGAGATGAGTAGTAATCCGAAAATTCTGGACATATATCATCTATATATAGTAACTGTGTCGGTCGATTTCTTCAATAAAATCAAGGTTAGGGTTGCTTTCACTTGTCTTTGATATTTCCTGTTATCCACTACTAACTAGACTAGTGTGTATGTTACCACTATGATTAATTGAAGTTTGTTTACATCTATCTGTATTTATCCTCTGCTTTAATACACGCATTCATCGGCTATGTTCTTTTCCACTTTTTTTATTGTATCCCTATTTGATGATTATTAATTATTCAAGCGTTTTGATATAATTTATCATTGTTTTAAAGTTGGATCACAGACTAAAAATCATTAAATACCCAGGAAGCACTGTGCGTCGGTAGCACAGTGGTTAAGACTCTCGCTGACCATACAAATGGTCCGGGCTTCGATCCCCTGCCGACGCACACCCGATATCTATGGTCGGCCTGCAAAATCGGGCTACCGATATCACATGCTGAAAATTCTATACTTGTATCAAAAATACGGTGTGGAATCAAGCTATAATAAAAAAATGTTTCGTCCTTGTTTGGGACTCTTCAGTATTACACACGAACGACCCCACTGAGGATCTAACTTCAGGACCTTCAGGTCATAACAAAAGCTTGTTAACTGTTCAGTGGTTACACTCTATAATGGTAGAAGTTAGAAATTATGTTCCATTGGATTCTGTTCCAGTGACTGGATAATCGATAGTCTCACCTTGTAATTTGAAGGTCGTGAGTCCGCCCCCTGATGGGCTGGCCCATGAGAGTGTGTACTGTTAAAGAGTCCAAAACAAGGACTAAGCAGCTGTCCAGTACTCCCTGGTTTTCAATGATTCTTTAGGTGAAGTCAATTCAGTGATGTTCTAGCTAAACATCGATCAAATTCCTGAAAAACACCATTTAAAAACTGATATATACATATTTGTGTTTCTAATGTTCAGTCATAGCAGTCAAGCAGCAACTTCAACTGGAATTTTTCAAATGTTGTTGAATTGTATGTACCTTTCCAAGTTGGATATTCATGAGACATATAATTTTTTTAATAGCCATAGTTTCTATTTACAGTTTGATTGATTAATTAATTAGCCTGTGTGTGTCTGTTTTATACACACTCGTGTCTGTGTTTGTGTGTGTGTATGTTTGAATATGCGAATAAGTTTATACTTAACAATATAAACTATATGAATCGATTGTGGTTATTGCGTTGATTTTTTTTTAGAACAAATTTTATCCTGAAATAAAATGGACATTTAAAAAAAATGTTTATTTTTTCCAAATTTTTTGTTCGAGAATCTAAACAGCTAATATGCGTAAAGCTAGTATACTACTGATTGATTTGGATGAGTAGTAGTTGTATACCACTCACATCAACCATCACTTATTTCGGAAGTTGCATCAGCCAACCCCAACGGGTTGATTGCTGATGAGATCTCAACAGGGATACAGAGGGCTCATTTGGCATATGCCAACTAACGCTATCTCTGGAGTAGTAGACGTGATATCCGACCGACTGTCGATCAAAGGGCGTGTGTACTGCTCAACAGTTCGCTTCGTCCTCCTTTATGGCTGTGAGACATGGTCATTGGAAGTGGAACATATGAAAACGCTGGCTGTGTTTTATCATACCTGTCTACGTTCTATCTCCCGTGTGAAGTGGTTTAATAGGGTGAGCAATATTGCGGTTAGGCATCGAACGAGTGGTAGGTAGGTGGGAGGGGAAATCAATCGACGACGTTGTGAAGTTACATCGATTGAGATGGTTAGGACATGTGTTACGCATGCCTAGTCTAGCCACCGCCTTCCTCGACCGACGGGCAACGTAAGCTGATGTAAGATGAATCAGGTTGAAAAAGAGTTAGCTAGTGATGCGTGGTCAGACGAATACATGCCTTCATCAGTCAATGAAATCCACAACAGTTAGGTTAAGCCAGTCATTTACTTAGGGAGCTGTAGGTTTCCTGACTCTTTGGGGTCCCCGATATAGTGAAAACCAATGAGAGCTGGAAAAAATTGGTGATACGGCTCAAAATCGTCCTCAGTGATGGAGCATTCACTCCTTGTTATTTGTGAAATCCAATAAAACTCTATTGCTTTTCCAAATTACTATTCTTTTTGCCTCACTCACACTTCTGTTTATTATCTCACTCTCTTTTTAATCTCCCTTTGCTGTTTTCTCTTGCTTTGTGTGCTACGTGGAGAGAGTTTGGCAACTCGAACTGGTGCACATCTGTGCAAAGATCTACGTTGAAACCAGTCAGTTGGTCAGTCAGCCACTGGTGCTCGCTGGCTAGTCAAACCGTTTCGCTGGTTTTAGGTCGATCTTATCCATCAGTATGCCCAGTTTGACTCAGCTCAGAGAATCGAATCAGTTTAAACCACCCGATTTCTGGTTAGCTACTTGGGCTACTGGGTTTGAACCCCTGTGGATGTGTACTGTTGAAGAGTCTCAAATTAGGGTGGAACAGCTGACTAATACACCCTGTTTATGTAGGTTAGTGGTTCAGCGGTAGGAGTACTCTCCAGCCACGCATTTGGTCCGGATTCGTTAGCTGGTAGAAAGCCTGATATAGAGAGGAAAGATTGGTCGTGTGAGACTAGAAACCCCACTCCGTAAAAAGGAAACGCCACTGCTAGCTACTGAAACTTCAAAGCGTAAGCTTGAAACCCTTTATTCCACTCGGAACGCAAAGGAATAAAATAAGTAATAAACTTGAGCAAACTTGTGATGTGAGTGGTATACAATTACTCATCTCAATCTATCAGTAGTATATAGTTTTTTACATTCGCACTTGGTTTCTTGATTATTATTATTTATAGTTTCAAGAAACACACATTGTGATCTGAATGGTTTTGGTTTCCATAGGAAACTGTGTTGGGATTTCACCTCTTAGAGTTGTATAAATTAGGAATTAATTTGCAAAATTGTAAATTTTATTTATGAAACAGCTGAAAGGGTTTTTTGTTGAGTTATTTACTCAAAAAAAATTTGCGCATGTTTACTTATAATGATAGTTTTTATCTGTGTCGTGTTTGAAAATCAGTTAGTGATATTTATAATAATAATAATAATTAGTGATATTTATAATAACAAATAGTAAATAAGGTACACAATATGAAATTCTCAGCACTTGCTACAATATTACATCTAATTCACTCTGAAAAATACATATGTATCACATGGTATAGGTGACCTAAACTGATAATAACAATCTTTTGGCATTGAGAGTAACAGTTAAGTCAGAAATATACAAAAAGCGTAAAATGATAATGATAATTGTAACAATGTTAATAACTAAAATCATAAGATAATTGGAATAATGTTACCATAAATTACAAATGAAAAACAAAACAGATAATTATTTTGCTAATTACATAGTAGGTTATAAGTTCCATGCTTAACACTTTCTCTGTCACATAGAACGCGGGCCAAATAGGGTATCGTTGACTTTTTGTACTTAGTTGTATGACCATATAGTCTTTTATAATGACTTCTAACCCCCTACCTGATAAGACACAAGGGGAGAGTTGGTAGGTGGGTAAGTAGGTAGGTGTATATCTGAGTCATTTTTAAGTTATCTTTTCAGTGACCCATCATTTCATTATTTCCTAGAATTATACACCCAATCGGCTCATATGCATATAAACCGAATGTAATAAATGCAGTTAGTTATTGCCTTATTCAGTCAATATTCACAGCCTCCGATTCTTTATTTGTAAGTCTACATCTAACCCTGATAACTGGCCCAAAAATTAAAATGATACTACTGTATTGACAGTTGGCTGTGAAGAAGCCAAAATTGTAGACTACAATTTACGTCAATATTCACATCCCGAATCTCAGGGTCATGAGAAAAACAATAACAAAGCTTAACCTTGAGGAACTCACCAACCAATCACAGTAGACTTGACGTGTGCAAATAGGATTCGCAGATATATGGCTTAGCTTTCTGAGAAGCGGTCACAAACAATATAGAATAGCCTTCAGCAAGTAAACAACCAATCAAAAGACGAGCTTGCCTTGTAACCGGAAGGTCCTGGGTTCGAATCCCAGTGGGTGCGTACTGCCGATGATTCCCAAACTAGGATGAAACAGCAGCTGTCCAGTACTCCCTGGTTTTCAGTGGTTCTCTAACTGATATCAGTCCGTGATCAACTCGTAAAACAATAATGTACATAGAAA